TGTGTGTGTGTGTGTGTGTGTGTGTGTGTGTGTGTGTGTGTGTGTGTCTGTGTGTGTGTGTGTCTGTGTGTGTGTGTGTGTGTGTTAAGAAATTTTACTAATAATCCCAATTCCACCTCAAATTCAATAAATAAGATGGGTACTTAATAACGGGGATTTTTGCTTCTACAAAGAGGGAATAAATACAACTCATGGGGTTCAAATGTGAAAACAAGCAGATATAATACTAGTTACATTTTTACAGTTGGCGTCAAGTGGCATTTAGTTCACTCAGCAGATGTTTACTGACACCTAATTCTATAACCCCCAGTACTATCTGCAGTCTTCACGCACAGGAGGTCTATGTAACTCTAAGAAAAAGGCAAAGTGGCTTTGCCCTTGTAAATATTTCCTAAGTCTGTAGACCCATTCTTGTCTATACAATCTCCACCACATCTTCCATGTAACAAGAGCAGCTCCATCACGGAAAGCCAGCTGTTTCTCCTCATGGGGGATCCGTTTGTTCCTCCTCGTGCTCAAACTTGCTTTCTGAACACATACAAACATTTTTTCCTCAAGCAAATATGCCCAAAACCCAAATCCTAAAAATATCTTAATATTGTAACAGCTCCTATTTGCTCAAAAAATATTTCCCTCTGCAGTATTGTTAATCTTGGGAAATTATCAAAAGGAGTATAAAGAGGAGTCATAATAAATGTCATTTATTTCCTTAACTCTACTATATATACTTGGAATGACCAGTACACTTAACTCTTGTCCACCTGTCATCCTCAAATATTCCTACAGAAAGAGTAACACCGAAGAGAAGTCTAGGTTAGGTATACACTGTCTCCTCTTGGAGAGTGAAGGAATCATTTCCACAAGAGACAATTAGCATGAATCCACTCTGAAGCCAAACATTCTTCATCCTTAGATACATAGAAGCTGCTTCTGTTGGGATCAGTAAGCAGGCACTTCTATAGGCAGCCCCAGTTAGACTGGTTATCAAGCATTTGTGAAGACACCTGACCACCTGGAATTACCTGCGCATGCCCTTGATCACCCTATAAGAGAACTGGAACCCTCCCCTTTCTCTCTCTCTCTTCTTCCTCTTCCTCTCTTCTCCTCTCTCTCTCTTTCTTTCTGTGTCTCTGCTCCCTTCTCCCCCCTTCCCCTAATAAACCTCCCACGTGGAACTGATCTCGTGGCGTGATTTGTGAACCCGTGTGTAACCTTCACATTCACAAGTTTCCTAACATTGGTGCGTTGGGCCGGATTACGTTACCTCCAGCAAGTTCACCGAGCGCGCCGGAGCTTCTGGGGACCTATTCCTCTCCAAATCTGCCAGAGATCTACACTTTCCTGCTTCCATTTTGCTACAAATTCATCCAACGCCGGCTAAATTGGTGAGTTCACTTTTAGTCACCATACCCCTTTTACTAAACCACATCCCTACTTAGGGCCTCAGTTTCCCTTGGGAGCCTTCTACACACTTTTTTTTTTTTTTCTCTACATGCTCTTGCACCAAGCCCTAGTTAGGCAAAAAATGTGTCCTTTCGGCCGTGCCATGGGGCACTGGGCCTCGGTCGCTGGCCGATATCTGATGAGATATTGTACCAGATCGGACTGATTCGTCTAGAGACTCGGCTTCTTCTGGGACGCCATTAAAAGACCTCATCTCTCTCTCGCCTCCCGATGGGAAACGCCCATATGCCGCAGTCTGTTCCCCCAGCTTTCTTTCTCCTTTGCTCTAAAACTCCTCTCAGTTCCTCCTGTTCTCCTACTAAACTCCTAACCATTAAACTAAATCTAAGGAGTTCTGCCTTTGACCCAGTGGATAAAGTTCCACCCCGACGCTGCCTCACTCCTCCTGCCCCCTGCCTGGCTCGGCCGCCGGCGGTCAGGCCCGGGTCTTCACCAAGGTAAACAGCCTGAGTCTCGCCAGTCCCAGCAGCCAACAGCGCTCTGAGACGCAGAGACACACAGCGTCGTAATTGACTTTTCAAAACTTGGTAGGGAGTTTTACAAACTTTAAAATTCCCGAAAAAATGCCTGGGCGCAGCCATCTTGGCTTTAGGAAAAATGGGCGGGACCTTGGTTTTATCAGAGGCTTCCAGGTGGCTGGCGCCATCTTTAATTCGGGCAAAGAGGCCCCGCCTCCCATGTGCCTCTCTCCAGCGCCATCCCTCAGCCCCTTTCCCAAGCCGCTTCTATTTAAAAGCCCTCATCCTAATTCCTATATTCCACTCACATATTTTCAAATGCTTTATATAATCTTTATAATTTTCTCATGGGGTTTATGTTCCTGGTCTTTTGGGGTTCGTAAACTGGGCACAACATTTTGGGGGCTCGTCCCGGGACCCCAAGACTCCAGGAACCTGACCCAAAGGTTTTTATGCCAACCCTAAGTGTAATGTTTCTGTACAATGTTTGTATGTATGTGTAGTACTTTATGTTCTCTGTTCTAAAAATTCCTCAGAGATCGAGGTGCCTGTATCTGGGTAGCAAGACGTGATCGAGGTGGTCACAGCTGCTGAAGTTCAGGGGGACACCCCTAACTTCATCAGTATTTTCAATAAATTTGGCCAGCTAGTTAATGTTTTTTTTTTTGTCTCAATGTCTCTGTGCAGTATTTGCTTGTGTCTACCTTCTGTTTTATGTTCTACTTTATCATGTGGATTATAATTTAATCGCCATCTTGGTATGGGTTAAAAATAATTCTCATTTCCTTCTAAGTTAAAAGAATGAGTTATTTTAAATTGGCATTGGTTTTGAAAATTAAGTTGTTTACATTGGTAAATTCTGGTTTTAAAATCTGCTTTTGTTAGGATTATGGTTATGCCTTGTGACTTCTCGCCTACAAAAGGGGTACTTTATTTTGATATTACAAAAACGGGTTTTAAAAATTGTTTAAATGTTTAAGGCTATAAAATGTTTAAAGTTTATCAGGCATTTGGGTATGACAATGATCTTGGGTATTTATTTTATCAATTTTACTAAATAAAACCCAGCCATATGGTTTGTGCTAATTAAAAAAAATTGCAGTTTTTAGAATGTATCTTATGGAGAGCTGTTTGTTTGTTAAGCTGCTTTGTTTATAAAAAAAAAAAAAAAAAAAAAAAAAAAAAAAAAAAAAAAAACATGTTATCACCCTGGTCTTTAACTTCAAAAAAAAAAAAAAAAAAGAAGTTACAACAAGTTCCTTAAAGCTTGTTCTAAGCTCCTTAGAGTTTATGTGACCTTGGACCATCTTGTCTGCTACAGGGAAGTTATTTAAAAAAGAAATTGGCAGTTTCAAAACTCTTCTTTCTAGTAATGTAACTTGTTTTTGCTTTGCCTATAAAAAGCAAATTGTAGACGCTGGGCTCCAACAGGATCATGTCAAAATACAAAGTTCTATTTTGATGATGGGGATCGTGGATGCTGAGTTCAGTTACACCTGGCCAGCCACCATGCTAGTCCAAAAATAAAGAGGGTAAAGCCATGAGTTGACGATCATTTTTTTTTTTTAGGTCTGAGGTATGTTCAGTCATCTGATTAGTGCTAAATGCAAAGCTTTTTACTGTTCAATTTTAATGCAAAGTGGCAGGATCAGCAAGATTTGCTAGCCTCTCTATAAACTGTATCTGATTAAAAGGTTTGCTTTGATTTTAGTTCAGAAAGAGCAGATTTAAAGTCATGCTAAATACTGCAGTTGAGCCTTATCTAGTCTCTTTGTTCAGGTTTTTTTAAGGTTAAGCCTAGGATGGTAACTATGAAGTTTGCCTATTTGTCTTAAAATATATAATTCTAGAACATTCATCTCAGAAATGCCAAAATTAGATTGTATAGCATTCTGTTTTATAGGACACAGTTTAAAACAGATGATAAAGATAGACAAGGAGTAACTCAGATATGCTGGCCCTCAAGCTTGTCAGAGATCTGATGAATATGGCATTTTAACTATGTAAGCTTATTGTGACAAAAAGTCCCAAAATCCTGGCAGTAGTTCCCCAAGGTATCCGAGAAAATTTGGGCACAACAACAGATGACTGCAACTCTGGATTGTGGTATGCTAACCACTAGACAATACTGCCCCAACTGGCCCACTGCTAGGGCCCAGCCTAAACTGTGGACAAAGCCAGGGACATCTGAAGAGCCATTGTCTCATATTGTGAGAGGCAAGGTGAAGTCAATCTCTTCTGTTCCTCTTTCCACAGAAGCAGTAGAAACAGTCTCTTATCTTCTGTACCTGGCTGGACAGCCTCTGTTTAGGATGCCGTGAGACACAGGAGCCAAGGACACTGCCTAGGTGATGGACTAACTAGTCATCTCTGTCATTTTGATTGGCACATAAATTGTTATATTTATTTAGCTCATAACTTATCCTTCTCAGATCTCTGATCACCTTGACGGCTATGCTAAGCTAATGGTAACTTTACAGCTAAAGACAATTAGATCCACTGTTAGCTCACTAATCAGTTTAAGATATATCACTAGCGAGGCAGGGCAAGATGGCGACACCGGGAAGACTCTCATTCTGAGGGGTAGCACAGCAGGATTGGCACAGTGACCAGCAATCAGAACTCGAGGCCACAAAACACAAGTGATTGTGTTTGAGAGGTGAGAGGATTCACCTCTGGATTCACGGTGGGGGATTCAATCAGCTTTAACTCACCCGGCTAAACCTCGGAAGAGATCCCGGTTCCGCCAGGTGCTTGGTCTCCAGCCCAGAGCTACACCCCAGCGTGATCTGGTCACAGTCCCAGACTGAAATGTGGGCCCACAACACCATAGACTGGATTTCCCAGTCGAGAGATAACCCCACGGAGCAGGAAACAATTTGGACCGACCTCAGGTTACTCAGACATCCCCTGGAAAAGACTTGGGTTCCACGGGTGCCCCAAGAGCCAGCCCGGACCCAGAGCTGGGACCCAGGTGCCTGAATGGAGCCCTGCCTGCGCGGCTGATTCACCACCTCAGATAGAACTGTGGGCACCAGGGCACCAGGCACCAGAGACTGCACTTCACTGGCAGGTGCAAACCCACAGGGAGGGAAACCCGGTTGGTCTGATCTCAGAGCACTCAGCTGACACCCCCACCCCGAAAAGAACTAGGGAAAATTACCCAGTTTAGGCAGCAGCCAAGGCTCCAAATGGCCAGAAAGGCGAAGCCACAAGCGGGCATCTGTGCCTGTGGGTTCTACTCACCACCCCAGACAGAACAGGGGTCCCCAAAGCAAAGACTGGGTGTCTCTGGCAGGAGAAAACCCCCAGCAGAAGGGATCAGCAGCTCTAATGCTTAGGACACACAGCACCAAAACACTTCCTGGATTCACGCAGACTCTAGTCTCTAATGCATGCAGGAGCGCTGTGCTCTGCCGCCATTATTGAGTTTCCCTAGGGCACTGGGACACACAGATGCATCCTCAGACCTACAAAAGCCAGAGAGCCATTACAGCAGCCCTCAGATACTGTGCCAAGGATCAACCAGTTATCCCTAGCTAGACTGTCAAAACTGTGGGAATCCCTGGTCCTTCAAGAGGGCTGCACCCGCAGCGTCTGGACCAGAGCAGTGCCTGCAGCCACCATCCCAGACAGGGACACACAGCTTCTGGTCCAGAGTGAGGCAACCAGCCTTCAGACCAGAGTGGAGCCATCAGTTACCAGCCTCCAGACCAGAGCAGCACCCCCAGGCGCCAACTCAACCAAGGTGCACATTCTCCAGGTCCAGAGCAGAGCACTCAGCCTCTGGCCCAGAGACTTGCTGAGTGCACCTCTCACTTTCCCGGACAGAACTGTGTGCCCCAGGATAACAGACTGAGTTTCCCTGTTGGGAGAAAACCCCACAGCTAGGGAATCAGCAGTCTCTTCAAGAGGACTGTACATGGAAATTTAGTGAGCAGCAGCACACTAAATTTATAACAAGAAACCCAGCAGTGGGGCAGCTGTCTTGAGAACTTCTATGGGTAAGAGGAGATCCCCCCCTGCCTAACATAGACCACAGCTACTACTCAGGGCTATAAACCTGAGGTGAGCAGTGGCAACTCCTGAGAAACACTGGCCATACAGTGACCATAACCAAAAAGCAGAGAAGGACTCCTTCAGGAAAAATCATCTTCCGGCCAAGGGGACACTCTCTACCTCAGGACTCCAGGAAGCACAGAAACTAACAGCCAACACCTAAATCAGCCCAATGGGTAGAGGTCAGCGTAAAAGTTCAACCAACAAAAGACAGAGCAATATGGCATCTCCAGAACCCAGCCATCCAGGGGCGAACAGCCCTGGACAATGCAGCATAATAGAAAATCAAGAAGATGACCTTACATTTATGCTGATGAAGAGGATAATAGAGGAGACAAATGAAATACGTAAAGAATTAGAGGAAGATAAA